AAGAGTCCTGATGTAAAGTGAATAAACTGAACCATCTTAAAAAAAGTAGCGAAAGGGACACAAATCTGGCAACAGTTCTGATGATACAACATTGTAGGAATAAACTGAACCATCTTAAAAATGTAGTGAAACGGACACAAAATTCAAACATGGACTCGGTAGAGAGAACGGCAAAGAGGGAATGCAGAGGAGGGCATCAAGCCATTATCTTGGCAGATCTCACAAACAAACTGTCAACCACCTTGCCCATATTCTCAATAGTTTCCAATGTAGCTGGGTATATAGCATCTGTCTTTGGGTCATCAAAAATTACAAGGCATCCAGCCCCCTGGTCCAGAGTGCCCGCAAACTTCTTATCCAGAATCATCTGAGATAATTTCTTCTCAACATGTTCAGCCGGCAACTCAATCAATTCAGCAATGTGAGCTATTTCAACCCGAGAGAAAGGCTCAATCAACCGGCAAAGGTTCTGCTCCAACAAAGTGTCATACAGTGATGAGAGGTGCCTGTGAACAATAGGATCTCCCTCTAACTGGGCCCTAAAGTTCCGAAGTGCAGTCTCAAAGAGCTTAAGAGAGCGTTTTGAATGAGCATCAGCAACTGCTTTCATTGCATCAAGTTCTGGGCCCTGATACTGCAAGCCCACCTTGGGGGATGATATTATTCCTGCCACATCATCAGCCTGGCTGACCATGATTTTACACAGCAGCATGTACTTTAGGCTATATATGGCCTGGGGATCTTCAAGGGCATTGAAAGCTTCAAATGCCTCATAGAAGTAACTGTAAGCAGTCTTATAATCTTTTTCCTCAGCATGGAGAATCCCACTCTGCAGATCAATCGTGCCCTGCTGTGCTGGAGGAACATAAATAGCATTTGCTGCTGTTCTTGCAGCTGTAAGTGCAGCTTTGGCTTTAGGAAGATTCCTCAAAGAGAAATGAAGCTTGCTCTCTAGCAAGTCAATCTCCACAAGAAGCAGCTTGTCATCTAATCTTCTCACCTCCTTGATTAGTCCAGAAAGGAGAGCCAAAGCTTCAGAATACTCCTTGTTCTCCATCAAAAGAGCTGCGAGTTTTGCCTCAATGCGCTGACGAAGGAAAGTTCGCTTCTCATCACGCGTCCATTGCACAATTTCCTTGCATAGGGCAATCTGAAGATCAGATGTACCAGGTATTTTGGCCACCGTATCAACAATTCCACGAACAATTTTTGCAGTTTTTGCTTTGGGGATCAAGGAAAAGAAGGGCCGAAGTTGGGTCAGAAGGTTCTTAAGTTCCTCTGCCCTATTTTCCTGCCTAAGCAGATCAGAGAGATTGGAGATGGCCTGCTCCTTTATTCTTAGGGCCTCTGGAGAAGATGAAGGGTTGGCAAGTATCTGGTAATAGATAGAAATGGCCTCAGAAGGGCTAGTGGCTTCAGAAGCTTGTGTAAGTGCAGCAGTGGTAGCTGGCAGGGAAGATGAAGACATGGTAACGTCTCAGATGTTTGGACACCTGTGATTCAAGATACAATTTAGGATCACATAGCTTGCAGAAAGCCTGGATGCCCTATCTTTAAGGCTAAATTGAATTACAGGATGCAGTTATAAACATGTAACCAGGAATCAATAGAAGAAAACATGGACTCTCAAAGTAACACAAGACTAAGAGACAGCAAGTTATGTCTATATGCTCCGATATGGAAAAAAGTTCATCTTTGACACACAATATACCATCATTTAATACATCTTGACTTCCAAGAGCTGAAACTAAGCAGGAACAACTACAAAACGTATTGCAGTTATTTCAAGTGCAAGGCACATCTAAGCATTATGGCCCCCTGAAGCTTAAGCACAAGGCACAGGTGTGAACACAATCATATATAGTAGAAAAATATGCATATGCAACATTTTATCATTTATTAAAAGGACATCAATGTCCAGCACAAAAGAATAAGCAAATTACGACAAGAATCATAAATATATATGAAACTAACATAATCACAAAAAGAAAGCGCATCAACACAAAATAAGAAGATTAAGCATGACAAAAAGGGACAATAGTTAGAAATTTATAAATAATTATTGCCAAAATCATCTCCATCTCCAATCTCCACATTATCTTCTGAGTCATAATATAGTCCAACCACCACTAATTCCAGAGTCAATAAAAAACATATAACTTCAAATTTTGTAAATCAACAAACCACAGGAAATGAAAAAGAGAGCACTTAAGAGTCTTTCACCACTGCGCCCCAAAGGCACACGAACTTTTGAACAATCGTCTAATCAGAAACAAAATCGCGCCTTGCTGTGCCTCTGGGCGTAGGGATGCGCTTAGTGCACCATTGATAACTATGAGACAGTTAGTAGTTACAGCATTATATTTTGGATGACAAACTAATCAGAAAGGGAACTAGTCATTAACTTTACAGGAAAATAAAAAAGGCAATAGTTTTAGCGAAAAGTCCCAAAACTCCAAAAAAAGGCTATAGCAAAAATCTTATACTCCACAACCCATACTCTGGGTATACTTGTGATAAATTATTACCCTGCTCAATGCCCTTCAATAATCCCTGTCACCATATAGTATCTGACATCATAATGCCATAGCCTATCCCCACCTCACATTCACATAGTAGCACAACTATTACAACATAGCAACTAGTCCAACCTAACTTGCCCTGTAAATTTATTGGTTAATCATCTTCCAGAATTTTCCATAACTATGGCCACTGTCAAATTCATAGTAATAATAGTATTGATTATATTTACATGATATTTAGAAAGTTCCACTCCTCATACCTCAAGACATTCGACTAAAATTTTCAATTCCACCTACTGCCAAAATGAAGTAAATCAAATTAACGATCCCAAAGAACTTATATTGGTTACATTAAGTTGCCACGCCTTCTCCCACTTCCCCCCAACCCCCCTCCCCCCACCCAGTGAAAAAAAAAGACTAGCGAAGTTGAATTGATGAAAGAAGAAAGGTGTACAGGGGAACAACCTAGGCCCCAATTTTTCGAAGTCTAAGCTCATAAACAAAATAAGCCAAAATCAAATTAAAAATCTCTTCCGAATCGAACTTTTATCTCACAGCATCCTCACTCATCCGTCCAAGTCCTATTTAAGTTCTTAGAAAGTCCAATGACACAGCTTTGTGGCCATATTCAAAAGGGAAACTTTCCAAATCCAAATTCAGAGCTAACATGAACAAGAAAAAAATTATCAGGGGGAAACGGGGAAAAGAAAAAAAACAACTCCGATCAGTTCATAGGAGAAATCATGAAGTTTCGAGAGTTAGCGTCGATAGTCTTCCAAGACTAGCAGACGCTTTAATTGTCAAATTTTATTTTCTTCCGACTATTCAAAGATAAAAAACTGAAAACCAATCCATAAATTTAGCATCCCCAGCGAGAAACCAATCACCCAAAAAAAAAAAATCAAAGAGCTAACCAAGAATTGCTATGAATGAAACTAGGGTTAGAAATTTTGATGGAAACATGAAATTGAAAAATACCTTCGATCAGCAAAATCTGAAATTGGAGTTCTGAGTGATTCAGAATTAGGGCTCGCGAATGCGTTAGGAACTAACTGTGGATATCGGATGTCCCCTGCGGGACTGTATATACTTAGTCTGCAGAAAAGAAACCCATCTCGCAAGCTAATTTGATTCAATAATTATCTGAATTTAGTATTTCATCCCTTTATCTTTTGATATTTACCTTGAGGCCCCATTCTGAAATACTAATGACAATTAAGTCCCGGAAAATTACATCCATAATTTTATTTTATTTTTTCAAATTTAGAAATGGAAGAAAAAAGCACGGAATCAAATTTAAGAGAAATTAAGGCCCCGTTTGGTAAGTGAGTATTTTTTATGTTTGTTTAAAACTTTAATGTAACTTATTGTAGAAGTTTTTTGAAAATTTTTTGAAGTGTATAAATTTTTGAATATTTTAAAGTGTATAGTCTAAAAATCTTGAAAAGTTTTTTGAAATTATTGTAGCTAAAATTTTTAAAAAACTTGTAACAAACAAACTTGATAAAAAACTTGACTGCCAAACAAGGTCTAAGGCTGCAAACAAATTGAGCAATTCGAGTTCGAGTCAATCAAGTCGAAGTCAAGTTCAAAGATATTCAGGTTGTTGACTTGCGAGTTAGCTTGATTATATATATATATATATGTTTTATTTTAATAGTAAAATTACATATATATCGCTAATATATTATTATATTATTTGTTAAGAAAATTTATTATTTTATTTATTTTTTAAAAATAAAATAACATTTTTTTATGTTTTCAAACTTGAACTCAAGATCGACCTGTTATATTGAGAGCTCAAATTCGAGCTTGATACAACTAAGTTTAGGCTAGGATCGATTTAGACAAAATTCGACTCGACTTGACTTATTTACAGCTCTAGAGAAAATTGTTAAACCCATATGCAAAAATTAATCTAACTCAAATAGTTATATAGAAACCAAGTATAGTAATTATTTGAAAGATTAGAGCAAAGGTATCATGCTTTAAATAGGATAAACTTATTTGGAATATCGTAACACTTTTTTTTATGTGATGTATATGAGATAAAAAGGTGATTGAAAATTATGTTTATGATGCAATTTGAATAATACTTGAATTTTGTTTTAATAAATCATGCTGACCAAACGAGAGAATTTAACGTATTCTTCTTCAAAATTATATGTTCAGAAAATCACATATTCAATAAATTTAATTTAACACTATCCACGTTTACCAAATGGCTAATGCTTCTTACTCTTGAGTTTGTACGAAGTAGGTGTTAAAATTTTGGCTACAATGGTAGTCCACAAGTGAAATTTTCAGTTCTCTTTTTGGCCACTGTGGCGAAATTCTGAAGAGTATCTTATTAGTTTTTATTTTTTCTCCCTATCAGAGAATCTAACTATCTATCGACAAGGATTTTATATTTCACAGCTAAATCGTTATGATGCTTTTTGGGCATGTCTTCCAATGTACAAGGGCAAGACAGATACATGAGTGGGCGGTCTCCAGTTCTACGTACATTAACAAAGTGAAGGAACTTTTACCAAGTTGTCCAACAGAGAACTATGCTGCCCAGAGGCAAATGAAAACAGGTTTTGGGTAGCAAAATGCATGCAGTTGCATCGTGTGGGAATATCTCCCAGTACACAAGGCATCAGAAATTAATATGTTACAGAAAACATATCATTCAATAGCTTCGTTGATAAGGACTTGAATTAAGTGTTACAGAAAACATTGTGCGGTTTCTTGTCAAGGATCAACATCTTGGATATTCAGGGCGAAAGACATTTCGAAGAGGACCTGAGTCACTCTCTTGTAGACACTCTTAACTGATCTTGGACTGATGAAGTTTGACAGCTCAAGCAACTTGAACAACTGGAACTCTCCTACGAGCCAATAACATATCATTCAACTGGATTACTTGATGCAAAAGTTGATTGATTTTCTGCAATGCAAAACTTGAAGCACTTAGATATTCAGAATTTGTATGACTATGCAATTTTCCAGCAAGGAAATTAAGACAGTGTTTCATAAATGCTGAATTGGGCTTGCGATGCTCTGCAAGCCAAAAGAAGAGAGCAATTGTTCCACCTCTTGCAAACAAATTTAAGGTACTTCAACTGCGAACAGATATGTTAGACATCAGTCTGTTGAATTTTCTGAAGTGCATACATGCATCAGAAGAGACCGGAATAGATAAACGCTAAACATGAACAGCTGCTGAATTGAGAGTGATAAAGGTCTAGAGTGCACCTGGTCTTTTTCTCTGATGAGAAGTCTGAGATGCTGTTTGCTCTCTGCAGGTAGCGCTTGCCCGCGCCACCTCTTTGCTCTCCTATACAACACCACCGCCAACAGCATTGCTCCCACTCCAGTTGTTGCTGAAGCAAATAACCACATGCTAGCTCTACGATCAGCACAATTCCTCATTCTCGAAACAATTTTCTCAATCCCAGAACTGAAAAATCCCAAACCCCTTTTTATCCAGTTTCCGTCTTTGTTTTCAACCTTAGCTTCTTCAACCTCACTCTGGTGATTGCCATCAGATGACAACGAGGCAGGGGAAGACGAGGGATGTAACTGCTGTTGTTCCTCAATATGTGACTGCTGTTGTTCCTCAATCAGCTGGTCCTTGGTTAAAGAAACAACTGGTAAGTTTTCCTGATTACTTGGTGGAAAAATTGCACGGTCAGTAGTAAAGAAGCTGTCTTTGATTACCACCGAATTTTCGTCATCCTCATTCGGATGAGCTTTCGTTGTGACGAATGGTGATTGTACTTCAACCCAATCACTTTCTCCTCCAGATATATCTTCATTTTCCATACCTTGATCAGTAGAAAGTTATATGAAGCATATCAGCAATGGGAGTATTTAAGACTTCTAGTGCAAAACTCGCAGCTTCTCGTGTCTTTTTTGTGGTCACTGTTGTTTTATCCAAAGAATTCCACAAGGCAGGATCCAGCTAGAATTTCCCCTTCCAGGATATTTATGCCGGGGTATTAACAAATCTAAGCGGACAAGAGCATGCTAAGGTTCAATTGTTCTGGAGATATTTTGCCAAAAATATCTTTAAAGGCTGATGCGTTCTTAAGAATCTGGCTTTGGCAGCTTGTTCCACATAGGCAACAAGGTTGAAAAAATACAAAAAGAAAAAGCACATCCTTTTTGCACAGATATAGATAGCAGCCTGGCTAGTGTATCTATAAGAACCCAAGAAAACCAATAGGGTTTTAAAGCATATTATTCAGAATTGCCCAAAATGACTATTAACATTTTGGGATTCAATTAAAGCACAACGGATCTTCTGTCCCATACCCTGCGTTACTCTCTGTCCCACTTTTTATTATATTGCTATTTCTCCTATATATATATATATATATATATCATGTTTTAGTTCTTTTTTGTTTCCTAAAGATCCAATAACTAAAGATTCAATTAAAGGCTCATGTTTGGATTTCCTTGTTTTTGAAAAAACAAGTTTTTCAAATACAATATATTATAATTAATATACAAACAAAAACAATTCAAAAAAAAGATCTCATACAAAAGTTTTTCATATGCCCTGCTATAGTAAAGTTTTTCAAAAACATACCAAAAAATCTGAGGTTACTCAAGAAGCTCAATTATACCTGTTCTTTATTAATAGTCAAATCCTCTAATGGCCATCCCCATTGCCTTCACAGAAGATTTGAATATGGAAAAAGAGAGACGAAAATCACTGCCTTGACCTTGAGGTTGTTGGGCAGTCCCACATCGGAAAAGGAAGTAAGACGAGAAGCACTCAGAGGTGGATAAAAGGAGACCGAATGGGCTTGTCTTACATACTTACCTGGACGGGGTCAATGGCTGATCAAGAAGGTCCATGGCCTAGGTTGGTGACCTCCATTGCACTTGGGAGGGGTGCCTGCCTATGGTCTCCCCAAGTGGGAGAGCCAACGTCATAATTTGTGATAGTGGGGGCCTGCGTTCGCGCGGCCCCTGCCCAAACCGTTAACCCAAATGTTTTGCATTAATCCATTTACGCACGTGAGCCCAAAATTCTGTACGACAGTTTTTTTTTTTTTTTAACTAATTTATTTAACTAATTGAGTGCGAAGGGACATCGTTTAGATTTGGTAATCTTACAAGCAACCATTCAAATGCAAAATATTGATATGTCTTTTGCTGGGTAATGTTACCAGCAACCCGTCAAACACAGAATAAATGTTTTTGAACTTTCAATTGATACAAAATATGACGGTATAAAAATATATTTTTTATTGAACTTTCTTTTAGTATAAATATATTTTGTTATTTTTTAAACTTTTGATTTTATTCTTATAAAAATTAATTTTTATCCTAATCACCTAATCCTATTTTACCAAAATAACTGGTCATAATCACCTTAAATATTACTATAATTACATAAGCCAAAGTTCTTTCATAAAAATTTTATGTGACAAACAAAATTTACACGAAATTGATTCATTTTACGTAATTATTTTTTAATTACATACACATCCGGCGGGGGGGGGGGGTGTGTTCTTAACACCAGTCATGATTTTTTCAAAAAAAAAAAAAACACTAGTAATAATTTGGAGGATTTAAAACCAAAATTCGCAACACTAATTGTGTTTTGTTAAAATCAGTTGGGATTAGTCACAACTACCACCTCGGCATGAGCAGAATTTGACTGGTCGTTATTGAAGCGCCAAAACAGAGCGCCTTTATATGACACTGTCGAGTGCTTGTCAACTGCCAGCCACCTGTTAGTCCGTCTTTCGCATCTAGTGTAATTTCCTAATTCCCACAAAACCCATCTCCAAAATTCCCAGTAAACCTATAGGATATGGTAAACAATCATCTAGACTTTGCCATTAATCTTTCATCTCCATGGTTGTTCAGTTGCACCATTTTCACCATCAAAGGAAGGGCCAAGAATAGGATAAGGTTTCTTTATCTGAACCCCGCAATTTTTTTTTGGGGCTATAATATCGGCTAAATTAGATGGAATTTCAAAATAATGCATCGGAATTCTGATGATTTTAGTTGGGCGGGGAGGGATTGGGGGTGTTCTTCTGTTGTTTCTACGGACATGCTTTGATTTATGCCTTTTCTTGATCGTATGTAACTGTGATATTTCTGCATGTCCATCGAGTGTCCTCAGCTCATTTACTTCATCACCTTCAAATTAAAGCACCAATTTAGGCTACAGGGATCCCTTTATGTGAAACATCGTCAGAAAATGTATCTTTGATGTTGTATGAGATTAATTTAGATTCCTAGGTGGTTTCAGATTATCTTAGAGTAAGAAAGAAAGAGAAAAAAATTCTGAAAAGTTATAGCAACGTGCAAAATTAAGTTTTAGTGAACTGTTTGATGTTGTTCAGTGTTGGATGACTATCAATTAACTTCTTGATTAGGTGCAGTGTGGCTGTTGAAGATTAAATACTCTGAAGACTTCCAGATTTTCCTTTGATGACCTGCAAATGTTAGTTTCTGCACTTTTAACGTCTGTTGGAATAAACTTTGGGCTTTGTGTTCTGTTTTGGACACTATACTCTAGCTTGAGGAAACAACCTGCCAATTACGACGTCTATGCTCCCCGCTTGCTTTCTGATGGGCAGTCTCAAGGGAGCAGCACCTTCCGCTTGGAGAGACTATTGCCTACTCCCGATTGGGTGAGACGCGCGTGGCAGTCTTCTGAAGAGGAATTACTCTCTTCTTCTGGTTTGGATGCTGTTGTTTTCATGCGCATCATCACCTTCAGGTTAATCTTTTCTTTTTGAAGGACCAAAGATTGGAAGGTGTACCAACATTTTTTTGCACATTTTCTTGTGTCTAGATGAGTTCTCTAAAATTTTTTGAATTTTATATTTTGCTGCTCTAGAACCTGTAACTTGAGACGTTCTTGATGTTCAAGACAAGAAATACCAGAGGTGTCCTCTCTGAAATGCTTATCTTTTCTAAATTATGCAGTTTGAGAGTAATTACTCTTGCTGTTGTTATTGGGGTGTTTATCCTCCTTCCGGTGAACTTCTCTGGAGATCAACTTCACGATGTAAATTTCGCTAACTTAACAAGTAGTTCTTTGGATATATTTACCATCTCCAACGTGAAAGATGGTTCCAATAGGTAAGCATGATGAATAACATGGACTGTTGATTTTAAATGTACTCTGGATTTAAGAGATGCATGGAGAGACTTTGACTCTGGGGTGCTTAATTTGTGGCAGGCTATGGGCACACTTTTGCGCTGTATATCTCCTTACCATCTTTGTTTGTTTCCTTCTTTACCATGTAAGTTATATGTACGTCTATTTTATGGTTTCCAGCGTCCCCAAAACATGAGTGGACCTGTGTCTTCTCTTTGATCCTTTGATGAAATAAAAATTGGTAAAACCAGGGTATCATATTATGTGAAAATAGAGAATGCCGGAAATAGACTGCTGCTGCTCGAAACTATGCTAAACAAATATGTATAGGCGGAATATATATATATGTAAACTGTTAAAGTTATCATTAATCTAGTTCTTACCAAAATACACAATCACACAAACACACACATGTACATGATATGCTGTTGATTTATGTATTTGAAACCTTCATACAATTAAAATAAGTTAAATTGCTTCCAAATGTCAATTCTACAGGAATACAAGTATGTTTCCTCTAGAAGGATTTCATACTTTCTCTCATCAAAACCTCAGCCACATCAGTTCACCATTTTGGTTCGCAGTGTGCCTGTTTCTGCTGGGATCACTGTGAGTGACAGTGTTGAGAGATTTTTTAAGGAATATCATCCCAGTACATATTTATCACACGTGGTGGTGCGTAGAACGAACAAACTTAGATATCTCATAGTAAGTTCCATTAACTTTAAGGATTTAGATGGTTATGATATGTGGTGGTTACTCAAAGGAGAAAACTTTAAGATTTCATCCTAAGAAGTTTTGATGTACATTCCCAGGGGTCAGTTCCTGTATGTATATTACTATCTGAATTCTTTCATCCTTCCCATGCCTTTTATCTTCCAGTGAAATGCCATGTTTTTGTTATTGAAGTGATTGAGTTAGATAGTTTCACTTCCTAACAATACATTATAAATGTAGAAATCCTTTGTAATTTTTTAATTCAATTCTAGTGTAGGCTGTGTAGCTGATATTTTCTTTTTTACTGTTGATATATCCTAGTGTAGGCTGTGTAGCTGATATATCCTTTGAATTCAATCATTAGTCTCTGATATTCCCCTTGTATTAGCATGTAATCATGGATATGCTTAAATTTGGTTCATGAAAAATTAGCTCATATTGGGAAAGTTAAACAGTATTTTTTATTTGGTCAGCAGGCATGGAGTTATTTCCACACTGCCTGATGTGTGTTGGATAGACCGTCAATTGTTTCATCGCTTCACTTACTTTATGTAATCAATGTTCCAGAATGACACAAAGAAGTTGTATAAAAGGCTTATCCACCTACAAAGAGAACCAACTGCTTCAAAATCCCAGCCTAGTAGTTTTTTTGGCTTGTTTGGGGCCAAGGATGATCTTGTGGATCACTATGAAAAGAAATTAGAAGATCTGGAGGAGAATGTTAGGTTGGTGCAATCAGATGTTTCAATGGCTGGAGAAGTATGTCCTCTACCTTATAATCTTTGATGCATATATTTGATTTGCGTTTGGTTAATTATGTGAATAGTGTAAAACACAAAGTTCCTGAGAACCATAAATTCTGAATTTTGAGTCTGTGATCACTCGAAATATTACTTAATCTGTTACTTTAATTGCTTCAATAATTGCATTTCCTGCAAATGAATATTACGTAATATTTAGATTTTTCTCATTCTCCACTGCTCGCTTCTTACTGGAACTTTTCTTGTCAAACACGATTTTGTCATGGGTTGTTATTGATTACACATCAACTTCAAGATAGCATCTGAGAAATTAAGTCAAGATTGCTTTCCTTCACTGATTTGATTGTTCTTCATAAATCAGTGTTTGATTCACTGGTGAAGTTTATTTTGCTTGCCAATAAGCCATTGATCATATTAATGAGATTTATCTCCTGTTGCTGCCCCTCGTAACCCTGGCATGTGAAAGGAAGTTCGTGCAGCCTTTGTGTCTTTCAAATCACGATATGGAGCTGCAGCGGCACTGCACATACAACAAGCAGATAATCCTACGCAAATGGTAGCAGAGCAAGCTCCCGAGCCACATGATGTTTATTGGCCTTTGTTCTCTGAATCATTCATGCGAAGATGGATATCTCAACTGATTGTCATCGTTGCTTGTATTCTCCTCACAGCTTTATTCCTTATTCCAGTTGTAGTTGTGCAAGGTCTCACTAACTTGTCTCAACTAGAAATCTGGTTACCATTCCTCAAGAGCATCCTGAATGTGTAAGATACTACCGTCAAATTTCTCTCACATTGCATACATGATAAACATTTGAACAGTGGCAAGAATCTAGGTTAGTAAGGCACCTCCCCCAATGTCCATACTCTACCAAATATGATATCCCTCAACTGTTAACAACCTCTTAGTTGCATTCTAGTGTCACCAGTTTCATAAAATGTAGTGCCTGAGAATAGCAGCAGAGTACAAGTAGAATCGAGATTTTAGATCCCATGAGTCAAAACGGAAAATTAGACAAGGAATGAAAAAGGCAAGATTATCTATGAGATAAACAGAAAAGAGATAATAATTTTTTCTTAAATCTGCCTTCCATCAAATGTAAGATATCAGGGTTCATGTAATAATGAGAATGACATTCAGAATTTTCCAACTAAGTGCCACTGTGTTGCTTGTGTTCAATTGAGTTTTATAACCACAAATTTGGTTGATATAATAGTTCAAAGCTGTAAAATATAATGTGGTTATACAGGTTTGAAGTTTCAGCGATGGGTAAGGAGTAAGATTAACTCATTTGAATACTCGAAAGAGACATCTTCTCTTACGCTTAACTTAGCATATGCAGGTGCAACGAAATTTACAATCACATTCCGCAGGTGCTAATAACCATTGAAAAATAAATGTCAGTATTTTGTCCCCCGACTAAAATATCTTGAGAAATTCTCATGTAGTAGAGGTACATATTTGTATACTGCTGACATTCTTACTAGGTCTTTATCCAGCAATGAGAAAGGAACACTGTGGCTAGCCACACATTTCAACTAAGTTATCTCCATATAGACTTACGAACTTCAATTTTTTCCTAATTGGTTTAGATGGAACAAGTTAGAATTTTACCCCCGCAAGCGATGAAATGTTTAATATGACACAATGAATTTTAGGAATTATTTTCTTCTTTTGTCCTTGTTATTTAGTTCTTTTACTTATTTTGCAGAGCATTTGTCAGTGAAGTAGTTACAGGATACCTCCCCAGTCTTATTCTCCAGCTGTTTCTTATGATGATCCCTCCCATCATGAAGTTCCTATCCTCTGTACAAGGACACATATCTATTAGCGAGATAATAAAAAGTGCCTGCAACAAAGTTCTTTGGTTTACCATATGGAACATATATTTCGCAAATGTTCTTTCTGGATCGGTTTTCAGTCAGATATTCATCTTCCTTGAACCCAAGAACGTTCCTGCACGACTTGCTGTTGCAGTTCCTGCTCAGGTGATTATATTCAAAATACTTGCAGTTGCTATACCGGTTGTTTGTTCAAACATAACAGGACAAGTTCAAAAACTATGCTTCTACCGGAGTTTGAAAATTGAGTGCTGAACAATAAACAAAAATCATGAATGGGACAGAAACAGTATCTAGGTCCAACTTTTTGAGTACATTATGACTCTCTTTTCAGTGGGTCTTCTGGTAATGTCCTTCATCCGCACTGATATTTATTTAAGACAGTATTGTCTAAGGGTCAGAAAACATGTCCCCAGTTTATTTAAACATGTGAAGATTGCATATGCAGAGCTAAAAGTAAACAATCATATAGAGGATCTTTCTGTAGAAAAATCTCATGTTCTTAGAAGAAATCAATTTTATGTGTAGGTTCTCTTTTAATGACATTTGTCAACTGAATCACAAACTGAGCAGGGGTAGGTACCTCAGATTTTCTGGACTTTACTGAAATTCAAGTTTGTATTTATGGTTGGAGTATCTATCAAGAGAAAAAGGATAATGTAAACTAGATCTTCGCCATTTCTGTCAAGGCAATGACCATGAGAGCACTGGATCACACCTGAGGTTCTATAAGAGCTATGTATTTCAACCTCAAAATCAAGGGTTTAAGTTCCTTATCTATGGCAAACCTGTTAGTCCTTATATGAATGTAATGAACTGTACTTATTGTAAGAGTCTGAATACTTTGATTGTTAAAGATGCATTTCACTCTCTGAAATTTAGAACTGAATTCAGTTGTCTATTGCTTAATCTTCTTGATGATAATGTAATTGTCTTTTAATTTTACTACCATTTCTGTAGGCATCATTCTTCATCGCCTACGTGGTCACATCAGGATGGACAAGTACTACATTAGAGCTCTTCCGTCTTATACCTCTCATTTGCAGCCTAATAAGAAAATGTTTCTCTGGAAATACAAATAATGAACTTAAAGATCCAGCATTCCCCTATCACGGGGTCCTTCCAAGGGTTCTCTTTTTTGGCCTACTTGGTATAACGTACTTCTTCCTGGCCCCTCTGATTCTGCCATTTCTCTTGGTTTACTTCTGTCTTGCATACACGATATATTCTAACCAGGTTTGTAGTTGAAGTTTATGTTTTTGACAGTCAATAAAGACAGTTGATTTTTTAGTTTTTGGCGAGTGTTAGGACTGTGGTGTAAGTTGAACTTAAACATAGAATTAGCTGATGATTTGCAACCTTAATATGCAGTTTATCAATGTATATGCACCACTATATGAGACTGCTGGAAAATTCTGGCCAATTGTCCACAACTCCATGATCTTCTCTCTTCTATTGATGCATGCCATTGCAGTGGGAATCTTCACACTTAAAAAGCTTCCTCTAGCATCAAGTTTAGTATTCCCTCTTCCAGTTATAACTTTGATCTTCAATGCATATTGCCGGAAGCGTTTTCTACCCATCTTTGTGGCATATTCTGCTGAGGTACATTCATCTATCTTACTATTTTCCCCTTTCTATCTCATGGTTATCTTAACTTTAGTTATAAATTGCATCAGTTAAATGTCAGTTTCACATATCCCAGAGACAATAAAAACAACTTATTAGCAATCCATGAATCACAAACTAGTTTATAAGATCCTTGTAGGCTACTGAAAAATTTTTTAATCTGTTCTCATCATTTCTTTTTACTTCCATGTCATCATTCTAAACTTGTTTCACAAACTTTACTTTAGACTTTGATAAAGAAGGACAGAGAGGACATCAATGATGCTACAACTGCTGAGTTTTTTAATAAATTAGTTGCTGCCTACCAAGATCCAGCTTTATTACCCATGCAATATTCTTCAGATTCCAACAGAGAAAGGACGTCTCTTCTATCTCCTGTTTGAATATTGAGGCTGTTGGAGTGGCATCTGATCCACATTCCAGATGGAAAGTTTTGCAGGATAAAAATTTTTCTGTCTTTTGCACTTTTTTTTTTTCAATAAAAACTCAACAGCTATTCTACATATGAACACCATGTAGTCTACACTGGTGTCATTTGGGTAGTGAAGAGGCTTCACATATATAAGTTGCAGATTGCTGCTTTTGTTTTATATGTTATATATTTGTCTACAGTATTTCAACTTATAAGTATAGCTTGTCAGGATGCTATGTCTTCTTCCTAAGGAATTTCTGTATATGCCATTTGTGAGACCTAGGATTACTTCTCCAGTTAAAGTTGGATGACTAAGGGGAGGCATTTTGGATTTGGCGCTGTAACTTTCTGTCTTTGCAGAAGCAGGCTTAAGTAATCAACAAATGGCAGAGGTCTGGTTTGTGTTTTTAACAGACAGATAACAAGGTCAGATATGCAATTATTTGTCTATCAAGCCAGGACATGTTCCTTTCTGGTTAACTATTAAGTGATGCAGTTCAGAATAGCAGAGAGACTCTGAGAGGGTCAAAATACATGATAAAGCCAAAATGATTAGTGATTTCTAGACCAAGAGTTCTTATTTATCTTTAAAAAACGGTTTGACAACACTTGACTCTATCAAAGGACAAAACAAATTGCATTTCACAAGTATGGTCAATAATTTGGGTCTATGTTGTTGATTTTCCTCAAATGCTGCAAAATGGTACTTGAGCAGGCAAGCTAGGTAACAAGAAGGAAACCTTCTTTTTCTTTCTCAGTTTGGCATTATATGTTTGGTTTGCGCCGAATGTACAAAGAACCGCGTTTCAAACAGGAGATTGGGATGTAATAATGAACGTAAAAGTTAAAGGATACAATATCTTTCTTGTAAGTAACCCAATGCATTTTCGTGCTCCGTGTCATCTCATGCAGATTATTTGTTTTTGTCTGGATTAATTTACAAATAATGACTTTTAAATATGGAAAAGAAAAGAGTTAAACTGGTTTACAGGAGAAGAATACAGCCTTGTAATCTAATGCATCTTGTACAATCTTGAAAGGAAGAATTTCATATCTTATAAGCATCACTGTGGGTTTAGTCCAGAATGGAATAGGCAAGTCCTAGTCGCCATGGATTCAGTACCTTCCTTACTTTTTCACCTCAACTACAAGGTTAATCGCAGAAAAATTCTCATTCAATGACCCGTAGCATTTTTCTTGGATTTAGCCTCGAAACAGATCAAAAGGATCAATAATCCGTATTTCTACAGGAAGCAAAGATGTAGCTACAAGTACTACAGGCTCTTGCTTTTAGTCGTATTATCTGGCAGCAACCTGATATTCTGCCACACACACACACACACACACACGTGTGTGTGTGTGTGTGTGTGTGTATATATATATATATAACCAAACAGAAGTTACAGAACTGGGACATTCTTAAATGTTCTCCTAACTCGACTGTCACCATTTTATTAGTAGCAGAAGCCAGAAAGATAATTATCGACATTCTGAAGCACAGGAGAGAATGAGAAAGCGAAAGGGCAGCAATGGAGAAGATGAGGAAGGAAAGACTAATGATCGCGAAATGGGACGTTGATCAAACAAGAAATGAGTCTGCATACCTGGAACTTGGAGGAACTCAGCTTCAGAGAGGTAGAAAACGCTATGTGGGAGTTCGACAGAGACCATCATCAGGGCGATTTGTGGGTAGCTGAGATCAAAGATACCATGCAAAAGACAAACCAGAGGAAGCTAAAAAACAAAATCTCCAAGCGAAAGTTTGCTACAGTCAAATTAGATTAGAAGTGCAAGTTGGGCCTTATGATAAAATAACTGTTTGGGGTTGGAACTTGGAAGCCCTCTCTACTACCACATATGCATCAGTTGTTATAGTGAAGCCGGCTATAGCTCAAAATTCATTATACTTGTACTGAAATGAATTTTGGACCATCGAAACCAACAAATTAACCAAGTGAGGGGGACTCAAAAAGCAAAGCATCTAATTGTAGCACAATGATAACAATAATTACCCCCATCCAAGTCATGTAGTATCATTCGTCACAAATCGATAGACTGACTGGTTAGGATGCATGTTAAATCAAGGCAAATGGAGGTTGTTTTCATGAGGCAGATGGAGGAATCATATTTTTTGGTGGTGGTAGAGTCTGTTGGAAACTTTTGTAGGGTGGTGTTATCTTGGCAGGTAAACGTAACCTCGATGAGCTTAATCTTGGATATTCGGCAGTTTGACCAGGATTAATGTTGTGTCCTTTTTGCTTAGGATTCATAAGCAGAAGACCAAATTGGATATGGATATGGATAGGAATAGGGATATATGAATTATGATCATGATGTGGTCCAACACTAACATAACATACTTGGTAGAGTACCATACCATTTTGGATTTTCAAAAAGCCGAGGCTTAATGCTGATCATATTGTCCCATCATCACACTCCTCCGACCATGACCATGCTAATTTCATAAGAGAATCAGATGGATGGATGGATATAGAAAAAACCCACTTTCCCCAAGTGCATGAATTGGCCTCCTCTCTCCACCACCATTGAACATGTTTAGAAAAGTTGAGGCAGAAGTGAGGCTAAAAGTAGAGGTGTAGATTACATGTCCATTTTACATTTACATTTTATTGTTTGAAGTTTAGGAAGGGCCAATGCACTTTCTGTGATTGCTTTTTCATTCTTGAACCATCTTTTTAAGATTTCGATCAAATTAAAAAAGAAACCCATCTTTGTCTTTGTAAACTAAATACTACTACTCTATTAGTTAGTACAGTATTTGTTTGCATCAACACGAGATTTTGGTCTGTCTCAGAGATGACATTAACAGAAAAAAAAAAAAATTAAGCCAAAAGAAAGTTGCCCTTGAGAACTGGATTTTCCAATATTCAAATGACTTGAGAGCTGCAGGAGTCATGGAATGGAACCTCTACAGGTCATTATCCTTGGGAGGAGACAGACCTATGTGGAAGATTCTTATTCTCCCTGCAACAGTTCCTTCTCATGTGAAAGAAGTCAAATATCCTAGGGGGGCTCCTCTATTTCTCTACTTCCACAGCTCTATACCAGTCGTATCCAATTAATAGCTCTCCTTCTTGGGTAGGCAAGAATCAAGCAAAGGTTTTTTTTTTTTAAACAAAAAAGCGACGGTCTTAATCCTTAGATAGAACCCCTTTGCACCTCATAGTTTTCTCTTAATTTGCAGCTACAAGATTGAGCAGCCTGAGTGTTATGTTTTGTATTGTCATCATATTCACTCTCTTTTTGAGGTTCATTTGATACGAAAATGGTTGGTTGGGACAAGACCCATAACCTCCTACAGTACAGAGTATATATACCCCACTCTTTTATGTCTCAATCTTAACCATTGCACTCTTTTAAGTCTCAATCTTAACTATTGCACCATTGATTGTCAATACCCTTTTGACAAAAAAAAAAAAAAAAAAAGGGATTGGCGATTCCCTCTTATCAAACAGTTGATGACAGTAACAAACTTTGTACACCAATTACTTAAAAGAAGACAAACGGTAGGAAGATTTCTGAGGTTTCCGCCATTGACATGTTTGTCTTGTAAATTGTCAGTTTCCAGGCTTGCTTCCGTGTACATGCACTACTAGACTAAACCATGATTTGATATGTAATCTATCCAGGTGAACATGAGATGAGGACAATGATGACGATAAAAACAAAATATGATCATTCACTGACCATTTAATGCTGATTAGAAAAACTATTGATAGATTAGGCAGTTTGGTAAAAGAGATAACAAAGGCCAATCAATATTAACATTATTAATGATTATAATTAATACTGGCCAACTACTGAAGGAAAAAAAAAAAGAAGAAGATGCCATTAGTACTACACTAGCAACTACACAGTCTCTACTAACTAAACGGTCTTGACTTATTTAATCAAACCAAAAAGAGACCTTTTCTTTTCTTCCTCATTTGACTTAGAATTTGGAATAGAAGGTAGATTCACTCAAAGGGAAAAGGTAAAAGGAGAAAAGGCTAATCTAGTCTTCCTATGATGAAATTACAGACAAAGCTATTTGCTGACCCCCCCTCGAACGTAAACTAGTATTCACAGATTTGCTTATAAATATGGAGAACAGCATATTTTGCTGTCTTCTAAGGTTAGGCCAGGTTCCACTCTTCTTTTTTTGTTAAACAATATTCACCTGCATCAAAACCCCCTTTGGAACTGGACACAGGGAAAAACCGCATCAGCCCTGCTTTCCACTCCCAGCACCCCCAACCCAATCCCAGTTCTTCTCTCTCTGCAATAACTACAGTTTCTGTTCTGCTGCTACAACTTATTCACTGGTTTCAGAAACAGAAGCAGAGCCATATCTTTAAGAATCTTTCTCATGCAAAGAAGCCTTTTTGCCTACTCTTTGTTTCTCTCTCATTCTTCAAGTCATGGAAGAGAGAGAGGAGTCCAATACAAACAAGAAATGCACATCCAAAACTAGCTTCAGAGAGAGGACTACTAATCCTCACAACCATCATAATCACCACCACCATCCCAACCAGCTACTGCGTCACTCTAACAGGATTGGCTTTGGATTTTGTAACCTGAATCAGAACCAGACATATCCGGCCCTCCTTCCTTTGCCTCCTACCATACCTTTGCAGCTATCCATCACTCCACCTTTCCCTCAAAACCAGAACTTCAGATCAAAATCCCATTTGCAGAAGCCTACTAGGAAACAGAACAATCCTCCTCTTGCTGCCTCCTCTAACTCCAGGGCCCAAGATATCTCTGTTGTACCAGGTAACTATTACATTTCGTAAAAAGTTAGCTTCTTTGTAGTTTTTATGTTTTTTAACCCGATGGTGTTATCCTCTAGGATTTGAGTTTGCATGTCTGCTTTTGGTTTTAGAAGCTCACGACATGTAGCATGGCAGAAAATCCGATTTTGGTTTTTGCTCTTGTCATACGATAAAACTTTCAAGATTGAATTTTTATCCAGCAAAGCGATGTCTTGGTCAGTTTTACGAGAATCCCTTGTGATAGCAATATTTCATATACTGATTCCAGTCTACAAGACTATTTGTAAAGTAAATGTCTCGCTGATGCTACAATAATTACTGAGAAGTGAGAACCTAGCTGCACATAATGAATTATGAATATGTAGTACTGTGCTTCAGTGATTGATGCTCTCAGAACTAATTAAAGAGCACTTTTTAATATGATGGACCAGTTTTACAGTTTTTTGATGTAGTTTTACCTCCTTCTGTTTCACTATGCTAAAAATGCAGGTAAGGTGGCCCAAAGGCAAACTGTTCTGCCCCCTGGAAAGAGAGAAGGAAGGAGACTTACAGCTGTTACACAACAATCAGGAATGGTTGCAAGAAGACCAGATTCTGGTGGTCTGGAGGGGACAGTTATTTCTCTTCTTGCCAACCATTTTCATGTCCAATTCGACCCTTCCCAAAGAATCTTCCACTATGATGTTGAAATCTCTCCTAATCCATCGAAGGAAGTTGCCAGGATGATTAAGCAAAAACTAGTCAATGAAAACTCTGTTGAGCTGTCTGGTGCCCTTCCAGTTTATGATGGTAGAAAGACATTGTACAGCCCTATAGAATTTCAAAATGACAGGATTGAAGTATACGTTAGTCTTCCAATTCTTAATGGCAAGTCAATGTCATCTGTTGGGGAAATAGTCAATTCTCAAGAAAAGAAACAGCAAATTAAGCTTTTCAGAGTTAACATCAAACTTGTATCCAAACTTGATGGTAAAGAACTAGGCAACTATTTGAATAAAGAAAGGGATGATTGGAGTCCCCTTCCTCAGGAATATCTTCATGCATTAGATGTTGTCCTACGGGAGAGCCCAACAAACAAATGTGTGTCTGTGGGGCGATCATTTTACTCGAGTTCAATGGGAGGGTTGAAGGAAATTGGAGGAGGGGCGGTTGCTTTAAGAGGCTTCTTTCAAAGTCTCAGACCAACTCAACAAGGGCTTGCTCTAAATGTGGATTTTTCTGTGACAGCTTTCCATGAGAGCATTGGGGTGATTCCCTACCTACAAAAGCGGCTTGATTTTCTGCATGATCTTTTGCAGAAGAAGACTAGAGGTTTGACAAATGAAGAGAGGAAAGAAGTGGAAAGGGCACTGAAGAACATCAGAATTTTTGTTTGCCATAGAGAAACTGTTCAAAGATATCGAGTCTATAGCTTGACTGAGGAAGTGACTGAAAATATCTGGTTTCCAGACAGAGATGGGACGAATTTAAAACTGGTGAATTATTTCAAGGATCACTATAATTATGACATACAGTTTAGGAACTTCCCATGTTTGCAGGTTAGTAGGAGCAAACCATGTTATCTTCCAATGGAACTATGTGTGATTTGTGAAGGACAGAAGTTTCTTGGGAAGCTATCAGATGATCAGACGGCAAAAATTATTAAGATGGGATGCCAAAGGCCTAGAGAACGAAAAGCAATCATCGATGAAGTTATGGCAGGCCCTGTTGGACCAACAAGGTAAATCTATAGTATAATGCTGGGACTTCTCTTATTGCTCCTGTTCTTTCTGATGATTTAAACTCTTAGAACTCATCTGTTTTTTCAGTGGCAATCAGGGAGGAGAGTTCAAACTCCAAGTGTCAAGGGAGATGACACGATTACATGGCAGAATCCTTCAGCCTCCCAAGCTTAAACTTGGAGATGGGGGTTGTGTAACAGATCTAATTCCAGCTCGACATGATCGGCAATGGAACCTTCTTGATAGCCATGTCTTAGAAGGTACTCGAATTGACAGGTGGACACTTGTATGTTTTGGTGGAACCTCTGATCAAAAATCCAACATCCCAAAGTTCATTAATCAGCTGTCCCAAAGGTGTAGTCAGTTGGGCATCTTTCTTAACCGAAACACAGTTGTTGGACCCCGGTTTGAATCCATGCAATTGC